ATGTTACTTTAGGTATATTCCTTGTCACTCAGCAGCTGTAAGAGATGGATGACTACAGGAGCAAAAGATAACGGGCAGAAGCAGGGAGAATTTTCTCTTGCCTGCAGCAGGCAGTTGGATACATTTTTCAAGCCTGAAACATCACGGAAACAGAATGATTTTTTAATGCCCTTTCTTTTATTTTCATTCATTTGCTTTTTGCGTGGTTTTTTTTTTTAATTGCTCTTTTTGCTTAAGGAGCCTCAAGGCACGAGCACCGCAAAGTATCATTAATTAAAATATTCAAAATTATACCAGTGGTGACAAAGCTCCCAAATAAGCCCAGGCTGCACAGATAGAAACACAATTATTATCCATAATAACAGCCAGATCATCACTACCGCTCTCTCCTCAGACAGTGCATCTTTCCCGGAGTGCTAAGTAGCTGTGACAGTCAGTAAATCATGGCTATCCAAAATGGGGGCTAGACGGGATCTCGGAGACAGCTCTCGGGTTATGCAGAGATCTAGTAAACCTTCCTCACTCAGGCTTGCCCCACTGGGGCTGCAGTTTCTGGGCAGAAAGCTGCTGCATAAGTCTCTCACTTCCCTTCCTTGCTTTCTTTCTGGAGTCCAGGGAATGCTCAGCAGTGAATCAGCCAGCGACTACACCATAAACATGTTAGTGATTTTCCCGCACCTGGAAGACCCCCTTCACAGCAAATTATTTCCATAAAATAAACTAGCAAGAGTGGAAATGCTAATAATTTATGATAAAGATTTTAAACATAGAAACACACTGAACATTGCCAATGGCATTCCAAAGGATGGAAATAATGCTTTATTTATTCATTCATTTACTCAAGATTTATTGAGCAACCAGCATACACCAGGTTTTTGTCTAAACAACCTAGAGATACTGAGATGGAAAACCCAGTCTGTGTGTTCTGTGAGCTTAGTGTGTAGAGGGTGAGATGCAGAGTTATGACACAATGAAGGGTCAGGAGGATGAAAGATGAGCTGAGGGTCACCCAACTACTGAGGGAGGGGAAATAAAAGGCCATGAAGAACTTCATAGGAGAGTGAATGCTTGTCTTGCATACTAAAAGGGCTCACAAAAAATGCTGTACATGGCTGTCCTGGGTCCCCTTGGCACTTTATATGTTTCTGCAGGCCCAACTTCCAACTTTCAATTGCCAACACCTGCAACTACAAGCCCAAAGGACACCTTTAGCTGCCACATAAACTCTCCCTGCTCAAGTGGCAGGCGAGAAGTGCCAAAGAATTCACAGTTCCTGGGAGCAGTCTTCAAAATAATGATTGAAAAATTGGTGGATAAGTATTCCAGGAACCTGTCCCACAGGTAGAAAAACTCAGAAGTATTTCTACATTAGTTTCTAGCATTTCCTAGAGGAATTACATCAGTCACCTGTAAGAATAACTGGCTTGCTTGCTGCCTTTACTGCCCCTTCCCTAACCAATACACATCTCCAGTCTCCTGCCAGCATCTCATATATCACCTCCTATATCAGCTTTTGAACTAAAAGTCTTCATCTTGTGGTCTGTATGTGGGCTATCCCAAACAAAACTAGTGCTTCAGTCACAGAGAAAAATATGAGAAAATCTTATTTCAGAGATAGGTAGAGGCTGAAGATTTAGCTCACTGGCTCAAGCACCTGCCTAGCAAGCCCAAGATTGTGAGATCGATCCCTGGTACAAAAAAAAATCTAGAACCACAGATAGGTAGAGAAAAATGCCAACTAAGATTACAAACTGCTCTTAAATTTTTTTATTTGTATCTTGTATACAAATATACATACTACAAAGAATTCAGGTTACCTTACATGTACAAAATTGCTTACATTGCCCCTGCATACCAATCTTCTTTTGTTTTATCCAAACTTAATAAGTTCCAGGCTCTAAACACAGCTAACCTGAAAGTCCCACTGGAAACAACTCCCTGTGGCCATTGTCCCAATTTTAAAACCATTGGCACAAGAATGGTGTGTGCGGTAGCCAGACTTAGAGATGCCTCCCCCTGACACTTACTCTATCCCCATATTCGCAGCTTGTGTGATCCCCTCCCATACTACTTCAGTATTTGTGTGGCTGACAGAAAATGGGAGAAGTGATGGCTGTGATATTCGTGTATGTGTGTGGTACTGGGGATTCAACAGAGCGCCTTAACACTGAGCTACATCTTTAGCCTTTTTTTATTTTGAGACAGAGTTTCATTAAATAACTAAATTGCTCAGACAGAGCTCAAATTTGTGATCTACCCACTAGCTCAGCCTCCTGGTGTACTGGGATTACAAGCTTATACCGTCATGCCCACCTCAGCATGCGATTTTCAAAGGTAAGTTATCAAAGGTGTGATTTCTGCCTTGCCATCTCTCTCGCATAGCTTTTTCTAGCTGGCATTTTATGAAGACCCTAAATCAGCTCTATGGGGAGATTCATGTGATGAGGAATGCAGACCTTCTTCCAACAGCTAGCAAAACCCTGAGGCTTCCAGCCATCAGCATTGGTGAGTGAACTGAATTTAGTCAACTTCAAGAAAGTTTGCAGAATACTGAAATCCCAGGCAACATCTTGATTTTGACCTCATGAAAAACTCTGAGCTAAAACCACCAGGTTATATATTCCCAGACTCTTAGCCCTCAAACATTATTGAGATAACAAATATTTGTCATCTTAAGACACTAGGTTTTGAGATATGTTATTACACAGCAATAAATGAGTAAAGTGGCAGAGTCCCCATTCCCTGAAGCATCAGCCCACCTGCAAATGAGGTAAATAAGAAAGACAGAAAGATTGCACCAGGAGATGATGACTTTCATTTTGGATGCCTTGAGGAACACCCAAAAAGAGATGATAGGAATAAACATTTGAAGTGTGAACCTGGTACCTACATAAGAAACAAAAAAAAACTGGGTTAGGACTCCAATATTGATGAGCTATCAAGATACAGGTCAGTGAAGACATTGGTGGGAAAGAACAAGCCACAAGAGTGTATGTGTCTTGCAAACTGTCCAAACTCCTCCCGTAAATACTGATGAGGTGACAAGAGGAAGGGAGACTTAGTCAGTCCTATGAGTTACAAGGAACCAAAAAAATCTGTGGCAGAGTTTCGTACTTTACTTTTGCATAAATTTTATATACTTTATTTTCCTTCACATTTTTATTAGCACATGTTTGTAGTACATAATGCTTACATTCCTTGCAGGGAATTGGTACATGTACCTGTGCGTAAGGTTTTCTTACTTAAAGATAAAACAAAACACAGAAGTCCCAAGGAAGCCAATGTTAGCTGCTTATTACTGCGTAACAAATTATCCCATTAGTAAGTGGCTTAAAATAATAAACATTTATTATTTCACAGCTTCCATGAATCTGAGATTCAGGAGGTACTTAGGCTGGTTGGTTCTGGGCATATTTACAAGAACACTTATCGTAATATTTTTCATAATAGCGAATTATTGGAAGTCATTTAAATGTGCAGTAATAGAAAATGGTCAAAACTGTGAACCTGAAAAAACTGCAATCCTAAGAAATACTTTTGGTAACATAGAAAATTGTTTATAGTATTTCTTGAAAAGTATGTTGTGAAATTGTAAAGACAATATGACTCCAATGTTATTAAAATTTTAAAATTATATTAAAAAGACTAGAAATGCATATGCCAAAATGGCAAGGGGAGTTACATAGGTTACTGGTTGCTAACACACCACCCCAGACACGAGTGACTTAAAACAGTGACCCTTATTTTGATTATAATTCTATGATCTGTGTTTAGATAGTTCTGTTGTTCTCCTGGGGTCACTTATACAGCTGAAATCATGTTAGCATGGACTTCATATCCAAAAGGGCTTCACTCACCTCTCTGTGTCTGGTCCCTCAAAGAACTGGATAGTCTCTCTCTCTCTCTCTCTCTCTCTCTCTCTCTCTCTCTCTCTCTCTCTCTCTCATGCAGAAAGGCAGCCAGACCCCTTTATATGGTAGTTCAGAGATGAAAGAGGGAGCATTTCAATAACTACATACACACACTTTCATACATGTGCATACAGGTTCACACACATACACACAAAGAAAGATTTTTAAGGAATTGGCTTATGTGACTCTGAGGACTGACTTTTCTGAACTCTCAGGGACAAGCCAACAAGGCTAAAAGTTCTGGCAAGGGTTGATATTAAAGTCTTGAGTCTGAATTTCAGCAGGCTTTAAACTCAGGCAGTGTTTCTGTGTTATAACCTTAGAGGAATTTTTTCTTCCTAGGAAAACCTATCTTTACGCCTAACAGTGCTTGAGTGATTAAATAGAAGTAATCTTTATGATGAACTTCTACACTAGTGTTTGACTGAACAACCATACACCATATCTAGTTAATCTGATACATAAAACTGACCATCACATATAATGAAGACCAGAGTCACTGGGGAGGAGTACATGGGCATGGATACCTTCAAGCATCACTTTCTGGGAGCCATCAACAGCAACTATATCTGGAAGGCATGGCTTTTTTCTTTAAAAAAATCTGTTTCACACATTCTGTTAAAGAGAATATAAACATTTTGGAGCAGAGATAAATATTATATAATGGATTCATTCTCATTTTCAAAATATGAAATGCCAAAAGGTATAAAGTAAAATCAACAAATCAGAAGAATTCTTACCAGTCAGAAATATTAATATTAGTATTAATTAATTTATCAATATTAGTATTAATATTTTGTGATCATCCTTACAGATTTTCTTTCATATTTATACAGAAATTAGGAAAGAAAGAAAAAGAAATGGAATAATTCAATTGATATTATTTCAATTTAGCTTTTTCTTAAATTTAATAGGAGACAAAGGAACTAAAGAGATTTGAAAGATTTATAGTATATCAAATATTTCTTCACCCCTAAAGAATATCATCTCCTTAAAATTAAAGTTAAATAAAGTAAAAATATTCTAAGAAACACTTAGATGTTACAATTGTATTTTTAACAAAAAATTGAATATTCTTGGTCAACTCACCATCATAAGCAGCAGTGAAGTGAAAATATTTTCACAATTCTGCCTTTCCTTCCTCACTTGCCAATGTTTTCAGTTCAGCTGGCTTGGCTTAGCCAGGGTTTATAAAAATAGCATCCTATTCTGTAATCACTGTTTGCCTGTGCTTTGGTTTGAGTGTCATTTTACAGTCCCAGAAGGTCCTTACCTAAAGGCATGGTACCCAGGGTGGGAATATTGGGAGGTGCTGTGGATCTTTAAGAGCTGAGGCCTAGTGAGCAACTTTAGGCCAGCACATGCTCAGTCCTTTCCACCTGGCATCTTTGCTACAAGCTCACACCACCAGAACTGGCCAGTCTTGGACTTGAACCTCCAACACTGTGAGCTAAATAAGCCACTAATCTTTGAGTCGGGCGCCTCTAGTATTTCACAGTAGTAATAAGAAACTAACACACCTGAAGAAGGCGCTCTTTGTTTAAATGCATTCATTAACCACCACCAATTCCATATTATATACCAGGCAACCTAGTCTCATCGTCAAATGGCTTTGGTTTTATGTAAGCAGGAGACTTGGGCCCTCTGATCCTGCTGTTATTTCATATTTAAGGATGCTTGCTTATTGCTTTCATACATGGACAAATACTTGGCTGAATATTATTTTCTTAGGTCTCTAAACCTCAGAGCCTCATAAACATGGCTCTAGTGTTTCTATGCTCTTCAGACTTGGAAAATTACCATAGTGTTTTGCAGGTGCTCTAATCTTTCCTACTATCAGAAATTATTTTGTGGCTAGATGCCTTAGGAATTCTTTCGTTACTCTTTAAGATGAATAATTTAACCTAGAAAAACCCTTGATGTCTGTCATTATGAATTTATTTTTTGTAGCACGTGAGGTACCTTTACCAGCTGCAGATTTGAATCTTCTCTGAATTCGTCTTTTGTCTCTTTGTGACATTTTCTCCTACAAGGACACCAGTTTCCTTATTTTGAATCATCTTTGTCTCTGCTTTTCCTTCTAATTATTTAATTCTTTTTTCTCTGTATTCAGCATGATTATCTCTAACGTTCCTTTCATGCTGTTAATTCAGTTTTTAGCTATGTCTATTCTGTTCCTTGCTAACTTTATGTTACTTTAATTTAGTTCATTTCCTTGGGTCTGCAATTTCCTTTTACAGCTCATTCGGTTGTTTTATCATCTCATCTTTGAGTTCTTGTTTTATTACATTTATATTCCTGCTAATTTATTCTCTAAAGAAAAACGTTTATGGGGAAGTTATTCCTGTTGCCCAATTTATACTTCCTTTAGATTGGTTGCTTCACCTGCCTTTTCTATACGCATGCCTGGCATTTTGACTAATTGACATTCCTGGGGTAAATTTGCCTAGTTATTCTGTCATTTCTTTTCATTTTCCTTATACTTAACATGGGCAGTTCTGTCCATGACATTCTTCTGACTCTGTCTGGGACTAGTTCACCTTCTCCTACTCTGAAGCCTGAGTAGAGTTAGTCGAGCCATAATTCTGTCACCTGAAAGAGGCCAGAGCTCAGCCAGGAATTACCTGTTCTTGTGAAGGAAGCTGTGCTCCAAGGTTTCATCTCATCTGGGAGACCACCAAACGCCTAGGGCAACGGTGGCTCCTCACTGTTGGGAGTGTGCCTCACCACTCTGGGTTTTGGCTCATTCTCCAACCAAGCTCTCTGTCTTGCAGATAACAAGCGCTCCACTCTGATGGTGAGGTTGCAGACTAACACTGTGTCCTTTCCAGAAAACAAGTTGGCAACAGGTATCAAGATCTTTATTTTTAAGGGATAGGTTTTTTTTTAATGTAACAAAAATAGATACTAACAAAAAAATTTAAAAGCATGTCTATGAAAATATAAAACAAAATTTCATAACAACATGTATATATGAATTTCTCATATAAGAGAAACCAAGTGATATTTAAACTTGCGTATCTGATTTACATCACTTAACATTATCTTCTCAAGTTGCATCCATTTGTCTATGAATCCCTCAAGATTATCTTTCTTTATGGCACAGTAGCTCCATTGTGTACAAATACCACATTTCCTTTATTCATTCATTCATCTGTTCATGGGCATGTGTACTATTTCCAGCATCTAGCTATTGTAAATTGTGCTGCTATAAACATGAATTCTGTAATATGATGATTTTAATTCCTTTGGGAAGATATCTAGAAGGAGGATAACTGGATCAAATGAAATTTTTATTTTTAGTTTCTTGGAGCATTTCCCCACTGATTTCCATAGTGGTTATACTAGACTCCTCAAAATAAAAAGCCCAATCAAAAAAATGGGCAACCAAAATGGATAGATACTTCTCAGAAGGCATACAAATGGCCAATAAATACATTTTTTAAATGTTCAACATTGCTGGCCATTACAGAAATGCAAATTAAAGCTGCATGAAGATACCATCTTAACCCAGAAAAAAAAAGGCCATCATGAAAAAATCAAATAATAACAAATGCTGGCAAGGATGTGGGAGAAAAGGAATCCTACATTGTAGGTGGGAATGTAAACTACCATAACCACTATCACTTCAGTCAAACACTTACCTCTTCTGGGGTTCTAACTGGGAAAATAAAGGAAACAAGGATTCATTTGCAAAGAAATTCTTTGTAGCATTAAATGCAACAGCAATAAATTGGAAAGCAGCTTGATGCTCAACACAGAAGTGTGTTGTGGTAAAGTTCACAGCAAATAATAAGGCTTATAAGGACTTTTTAATGATATAATTAAATGCCTATGGTTTTATATTAAGTAAAATATCAGAATAAAAATTAATCACAAGGTAATATTTCATTGTATTACAGAAATGCACATAAATTTACCTAAGAAGAACAACTGGACCTAAAGCTCCAGGAAGGAAGAAACTATGCCTGGTTTTTTTCACACCTATGTAATCAGAACCTAACGTAGCCCATGCCACATAACAGATATACAATAAATACTTCTTAATAAATCAGTGAAATAAATTCAGCAAAAGATGTTTATTTCATATCTCAATAATAATAGTTGTGCTTCTGAATGATTTTGATTTTCTAGGTTTTTAGGCAAAAGTTAGGAAAAACTGCCACATTTGATCTCTCTGGGATAAAGGTTCTCCCAAAACACAGACTACATCACCATTTCTTTTTATCTAGTCTTGTTTTCTCTTTGACATGAATAAATTTTTTAAGGTTAGCTTTCTTGAGGTATAATTCACATACCACACAACTCACCCCTAAGTGTATAATTAAAATAATATTGGATAACAATATAAAGTTATACAACGATCATCACAATTGTTTTAGAATATTTTCATCATCTAAAATTATTTCTTCAAATTCTTTTGCAACCAGTTCCTATACCCAGCCACTCCTCCAAATAACTACTGACCAGTCTTCTGCCTATAGAATTTATCTTACCTGAATTTAATGTGAATGAAACTATACAGAAAGAAGTCCTTAGCAATTAGCTCTGTGTGTGTGTGTGCACACACATGTATGTATGTGTAGCTGGGGATCAAACCTAGGATCGTGCACATGCTAGGTAAGTACTTTACAATGAGCTATACCCTAGTCCTGTATGTATCATTCTTTTAATTCCTGAATAATATTCCATGGTATGCAGATATCATCAGATTTTGTCTGGCCATAGATAGACATTTGGATTACTTTCAGGGACTATAATGAGTAATATTTCTAAGAATATGCTCGTGTAAGTTTTTATGTAGACATGTTTTCATATTTCTTTGGAGTAGACTCCTAAGATTAGAAATTCAGTGTCGTATGCTAAGTTCCTTAACTTCCTTAAAATGCCAAAATGTTTCCTAAAGCAGCTATAGTATTTTATCTACCCATCAGCAATGTAGCAGTGCTCCAGTGTCTCCACATACAGGAAACTTTAATTCATAGGTGCTGTAGTGATTTCATAGAAGTCTCACGTGTAATTTTTAATTTGTACTTTCCTACTAGCTAATAACATTGATTACTTTTTATATACTTGATAGCCACTTCTATGCATTCTTTAGTTAAATGTTTCTATTTCCATTTTTTTCATTGAATAGTGTTCTCATTAACGAATTTTAGAGGTTATTAGAGTTTGCCCTTTATCAAATACACATATTATATGCAAATATTTTATCCAAAACTGAGTTATCTTTGCATTCTCTTAATTATGTCTCTTGAAGTGCAAAAGGTGTAATTTGAATGATGCTTAATTTATGATTTTTATTTTTAAATTGTTTTTAATGTATTTAAGAGTTCTTCACCTAATCCAAACACAAAAATTTTCTCATATGGATTCTTCTAGTTCATTAGTTTATTTCTTACTTTAGATATTGATCATTTCAGTTAATTTTCACATATGATATAAGGTAAGTATATAAATTAGTTTTAATTTTTTCAGATGGATATTCAAGTTGTCTCAAACCATTTGTTGAAAAGACTATTATGGGGGGCTGGGGATTTAGCTCAGTGGCATAAGCGCCTGTCTTGCAAGCAGGCAGTCGTGAGTTTGATTCCTGGTACCGATACAAAGGAAAAAGACAAAAAAAAAAAAAGACTATTATGTTGACACAATTTTTGATAGTCAATTGACCAGAAATATAAGAAGTCTCAATTTTGTTCCTTTGATCTATAGGCCTATACTCATACCAATACCAAAATATTTTGATGATTATAACTTTATGTTAAATTGAAAAATCAAGTAGAGTAAGTTATCAGATTTGTTCTTTCTTTTTCAAACTGCGCTTGAAAAAAGCTGTATTTGCTATACAAGGTATTTATATATTCATAAAAATTTTAGGATTGAGTGTTTTATTACTGAGCTTTTGTTGGATCATTGAACGGAACTGTCTCCAGTTTCACTGTATGAATGTCCACTTTATATGCTTTAATTTTGTAATTTGGACAACTGTTCCTGGGAAGATAATATGTAACCTATTAACTGGTGATTTCTTACTGTATATTTTTTTCTTGAAATACTGTATTAGTTTTACCCTTTTACTGCTTTGTTTTTTTTTATGTCCTTTCTTTTTTTCTCTTTAAATAAAAAAAATTCTAGGATTAAGTTTCTAATTAGAATTAAGTTAATTCTATAGGCCACTTTGGGGAGAATTAAGATCTTAGTAATATTAAGTCTTCCAGTTTCTAAACGTGAAATGTCATTGTTCCCTTACTAATTATTTGTATTGTATCCTTTTTGGTGCTTTTGTG